ACAGGAATCTATAGGATACAATGAAAGCAGTTTTATGTGGGAAATTCATAACAGTGAATGCCCACACTAGGAAAACAGTGTTCAAATAAAGAATCTAATGGTGAATCTTAAGCTCCTAGAAAAGGAAAGAGCAAGAGAAACCCAAGCTCAAACAAAGGAGAAAATTATAAAGATCAGAGCAGAAATCAATGCAATGGAGACTGAGAGAATGATACAAAAAAAATCAATGAATCAAAGAGTTGGTTTTTTTGAAAGAATAAATGGATACATATTGAGAATATACTCCTAAGTGAAATAAATAAGTCACACATGTATAAATACCAAATAGTTTCTCTGGTATGAAAAGCTATAATTGTACATAAGATCCTAATGATATAATTGACAATGTGAAATAGGAAGAAAAGGGCTAAAGGTGTAGGGGAAATGGGAAGGGTAGGGGAAAGGTAATAAGGGAAAAGAAAAAAACATGAGAAAATGCAAAAATGGAAATAAAGTATTTGCAAATAGGGAAGGGAGGAGGGGGTGAAAGGAGGGCAGGGATAAGGGGAAAAATGAGAACCAAGACCTGTCATGTAAAAGTACAAGATCCCAATGATGAATGTAACTGTACTGTATACCTAAAATGTACCAATAAACAATGAAAAAAAAGAATAAATAAAATCAATAAATCCTTAGCCAACCCTATCAATAAAAGGGAAGAAAAGGCTCAAATTCAAGCAATTAGGAATGCAAAAGGTGAAGTCACAATAGATCCAGCAGAAATCCAGAGGGTCATCAATATATACCCCAAGAACCTGAATTCTTATAAAACTGACAACCCAAAAGAAATGGGAAGATTTATATATACTTACAAATTACCAAAGTTGAACAACGAAGATATAAAAATTCCAAACACCCCAATTACAATCAGTGATACTGAAAATGTAATTAAAACTTTACCAACAAAGAAAAGCCCAGGTCCCAGGCTTCACTGCTGAGTTCTAGATATTTAGAGAAGAACTATTGCCATTACTCTCTGATCTTTTCAATGCAATTAAAAGGGAAGCAATACTTCCAAATTCATTTCTGGAACCAAGTGTTACTTTGATTCCAAAACCAGAGAATGACCCAACCAGAAAAGAGAACTACACGCCAATCTCCCTAATGAACATAGATGCAAAATTCCTCAATAAGTTACTGGCAGTGTGAAACAGGAAAAGAAAGAGGGAGGGGAGGGGAAAGGAAATAAGGGAAAAGAAAAATCTGAAAAAAAGGAAAAAATGGAAGCAAAACTTTTGTAAATAGGGAAGGGTGAAGGGGTTGAAAGGAGGTTAGGGGTATGGGGGAAAATAAGAAGCAAGACATATTATGTAAAAGTACAAGATCCAAATGATAAATGTAACTGTAATGTTTGCTTTAAATGTACCAATATTGGCTGGGGATTTAGCTTGGTGGTTCTGCCATCTGCCCTGCAACTCCAAGAACCCAAGTTCAATCTCTGGTACCAAATAATTAAATAAATAAATAAACCCAATGGGAAAAAATAAGATACTGGCAAATAGAATACAGAGAGTCATCAAAAAGATCATACACCCTGATGCGGTCAGATTTATCCCAGGGATGCAAGGATGGTTCAACATATGTAAATCAATAAATGTAATACACTATTTGAACAGAGTCAAGGACAAAAACCACATGATCATCTCAATAGATGCAGAAAAAGCATTCAACAAAATTCAACACACACTCATGTTAAAAAAAAAACCTGCAGAAAATTGGAATAGATGGTCTCTATCTCAACTTGATAAACTACCTAGCAAAGCCAATAGCCAACATCATACAAATGGTCAAAAACTGAAAACCTTCATGCTAAAATCAGGAACATGACAAGGATGTCCACTATCACCACTCCTGTTCAATATAGTTCTAGAAACATTAGCCACAGCAATTAGACAAGAGAAAGAAATGAAAGGAATAAAGATAAGAAAGGAAGAAGTTAAACTGTCATTATTTGCTGACCCAAAAAACTCTGCCAAAAGACTTCTAGACTTAATTGACAGATTCAGTAAAGTATCTGGATACAAGGTAAACACTTAAAAATCAATATCCACCTTGTACACAAATAACAGGCTCACTGAAAGTGAAATTAGGGAAACAATCCCTTTCACAATAACATCCAAAAATGAAATATCTAGGAATAAATATAGCAAAGAAAACAAAGGACCTCTACATTGAGAACTACAACACTCTGAAAAAAGAGATTGAAGAGGATATAAGAAAATGGAAAGATATCACTTATTTCTGGGTAGGAAGAATCAATATAGTAAAAATGGCCATAGTTCCAAAACTGCTAACCAGATTCAATTCAATGCCAATTGAAATTTCAGCAGTATATTTCACTGAACTAGAGAAAACAATACAAAAATTCATTTGGAACAAGAAGAGACCTACAATAGCAAAAGCAATTCTAGGCAACAGATACATGGCAGAGGGTATCACAATCCCCAACTTGAAACTAGTACAAAGCCACTGTGATAAAAACAGCATGGTACTGGCAAAGAAACAGACCTGAGGATCAGTGGAACAGATTAAAAGATGCAGAAACAACTCCTGACATACTCAGCTATATCATCTCTGACAAAGGGGCCAACCATCCTCACTGGAGGAAAGATAGCCTCTTTAATAAATGGTACTGGAAAAACTGGATTTCAACTTGTCAAAGAATAAAACTAGACCCGTATCTTTCACCGTGCACTAAACTAAAATCCAAGTGGATTAAAGATATAAATATTAAGATAAGTTAAGTAGAACTCTTGAAGATATTGGCATAGGTAAATACTTCATGAACAAATCATCAGTTGCAAGGGAACTAGCTCAAAGAAACAACAACTGGGATCCATCATTTTAAAGTTTCTGCACTGCCAGAGAAAACACAAGCAGAGCTAAGAGACAATCTATCATGTGGGAAAAATATTTCTACTAGCTGTTCTTCAGACAAAGGTCTACTATCTAGAATATATAAAGAACTTTAAAAAAATCAGACACCCAAATATAAAGATCCAATTAAAAACTGGGCATCTGAAATGAACAGAGATTCTCAAATAAAGAAGTAAAAGCAGCAAATAAACATAGAATACTACTCAGCCATAAAGAATGAGAAATTAGATTCATTCATAGGAAAATGGATACATATGGAGGCCATACTCCTAAGTGAACTAAATAAGTCACACATGTGTAAATATCAAATAGTTTCTCTGGTGTGAAAAGCTATAATAGTACATAAGATCCTAATGAGATAATTGACCACGTGAAATAGGAAGAAAAGGGCTAAAGGTGTAGGGAAAATGGGAAGGGTAGGGGAAAGGTAATAAGGGAACAGAAAAAAAACATGAAAAATTGAAAAATGGAAATAAAGTGTTTGTAAATGGGGAGAGGAGAAGAGGGTGAAGGGAGGGCAGAGACAAGGGTAAAAATGAGAACCAAGGCCTGTCATGTAAAGGTACAGGATCCCAATAATGAATGTAATTGTACTGTATACCTAAAATGTACCAATAAACTCAATAAAAAATTTTGAAAAAATGTTCAGCATCACTGGTCATTCACAAAATGCAAATTAAAACAATGTGAAATTCCCTCACTCTAGAAAGAATGACTATTTATCAAGAAATCAACCTATAACAAATCCTGCCAGGGTTTGGGGAAAAAAGGACCCTTCTCTACTGTTGGTGGGAGTGTAGACTGGTACAACCACTATGGAAATCAATGTGGAGATTCCTCAAAAAACTAGGACTAGAGGTTCCATTTGACCCATCCATCCCCCTTCTCAATATCTTCCCAGAAGAATTAAAAGCATCATACCACAGTGATATATGAACACCCATGTTCAGAACAACACAATGTGTAATAGCTAAATCTTGGAAACAACCCAAATTCTCATAAACCAATGGATGGATAAAGATGATTACTGTTTATGCAATGGAGTACCACTCAGCCACAAAGAATAATTTTGAGATATTTATAGCTAAATAGATGCACCTAGAGGCCATAATCTTAAGTGAAATAAATCAGACACACATGTGTAAATATCACGTTTTTTTCTCTGATATGAGAAACTAAAAGGTAAATAAGGACCAAAATGTATAACAGAACTTGTGAAATTGGAAAAAAATGTTCAAATGTAAAGGAGCACAAGGCAGGGAGGGGAGGGAAAAGAAAGATGGAAAAAGAAAAAAACAGAAAAGAAACATAAAATAGAAACAAAGCTTTTATAAATAAGAAGGGAAGAGCAGAAGAGAGACGGGTAGAATGGGAAAAAATAAGAATCAGTATATGTCATGTACAGGTATAAATTCCATACAATGAATGTGATCATTATGTGTATCTAAACTATACCAATATACATAATGACAAAAAAGAATTAAAAGTAGTCTAGTATAAACATCACTTACACAACTAATCAGAAAAATTACTGTAACAGTACATTTTCAATAAATGTGGTGAATATCTGAAAAAAATAAACATCTCTGTCTCAATTTTCTCATCTGTCAGTAATGACATGGATTCTATATAATGATTCAATAATTAAGCCCATATAATTTACTTAAAATAGTGTGTGGAAGGAAGTACTTCAGTGACTGTAACTACTATTGTTGTACATTTTACATTCTGGTACATCAAGATCATTTTTTTCTCTGCTGTAGAAGGTCAAAAAATGAAAAGGAAGCAACCTTTTCCCAATTCCTTGCTCTGATGGTTCAACTTTCACAGTTAAATATATGCAGAAGTTCTGGTCCTTAAGTTTCTATGGTTTCTGCATGAGCATGGGACTCACTATCAGGGGTCTAATCAGTTTGAGATGTTCGCTTTCATAGCTGGGCACCCAAGCACTCAGTGTTCAACTCACCACCTAGTAATATTTAATCCTGGCCTCTGGGATGGGTGGGCTCAACCCACTGAAGTATTAAGACCCAAATATAACATCAGTCAATACCATGACTCTCCTACCTGCTATTTGCTGCACTATGAAGCCTGCTAAGCTGGAATTTCTTCTAGGGCTCTTCATTTTCTGCTTACAAACTACCCCATTATTGGGTGGTGTTGCTAGAATTTTGCGATGGATCTGCGGAGGTCTACAAGGTATGAAGTTAAGGGAGAAAATAGATCCAAAGACTCATTGTGAATGAGTGCAAAGGTGATGAAAAGAGTGTGCCATATAGATGAGCCAGGAACATCCTCTTCCATAACAATGCCCAGAGACTCTTAGCTCTTTGACTTAAGGTACTACTTAGTACTGTGGATGTTTGATGAAAAGGGAAAAAAGCAGATTCAACGCAAATAATTGTTTTAGAGATATAGAGCTCTTTTGTAAGGAGAATTAAAAAGCTAGAAATATTTTTAATTATAGGTTTGTGATTAAAACCCTAAAAAGTAGTTCTATTTTTTTTTAAGTACTAGGGACCAAACACAGAGGCTTTGCACTGCCTACAGCCCCAGCCCATTTTCCATCTTTTATTTTTGAAAGAGGCTCCCAGTAACTTGTACAAGCTGGGATCAAACTTATGATCCTCCTGTCTCAGCCTCCTAGAGTGTTGGGATTACAAGCATGTACCACCTTGCCTGGCTCAGTTCACAACTTAAAGAGTATGTATTGGAATAAGAAAGGGTTTGAGCCTGCAAAAATTGAGGCATTTTGAACCTGTGAACTCTGGGGATATACAGAGCACTTCAACACATGGTCTCTGTTTGGGAGAGCTTCCAATACAAATATGAAAGGCAATGCGTCACCCATAGCTTCTGTGTGTAGGCTCAGAGCACAGGGAGGTAGCACAGTCTGCACTTTCAGTCAGATTTCAAATTTTCGCCTGTGTGCCTTGGACCAGTCATTGAGCCAATTCGCCTCATTTTCCCAATGTGTAAAGTGAAGATCAGAAAAGCAGCTACTTCAGAGAGTATTTGTTAGTATAGGATAAGATTATGCATGTAAATATACCTAAATTCATAGTCTTACCAGAGAATAAATTCCAGCCCGGCTTTTCAGGAATGGAGGGAAAAAAATCACTGGCTTGCCAATATAGTCGTGATTGTAGCTATTTCAGCCACTTACCATTACCCCACACTTACCAAAAAGCAGGAACAAGAAGGGAAAAGATGGTGGGATGTGAAGGAAAAAGAGCATCACCCCCACAATTAGGCATTTGGTACATATTCTGCTTTCAGAACAGCAGCACCAGGCACAATTAACTGAATTTTGAGGTATAGGTAGTATAGTAGGTATGAAAACTGGGAAGCAAGTGTTCTGCAGTGTATATTCTAAGTGAGCAGTTAAAAACATAGGAAGATTGGAGCATGGAAATGTAGGGCAATAGTGTACTCTAATATCGTAAAGTGTGAAATCTGGGAAACCTCATCTTTTGCACAAGCTAGAGGTAGAACTTCTTTTTTCACAGTTTAGTACCTCTCCAGTCACTGCCCAATCTGGAGTTGTAAGCAATTTGCATCGCACAAGGGAACCTTACCAGATAACTCTAACTCCAAGAGAAAGGCAGGTGTCTTCCAGTGACCCTGAACGTGAGGACTTTTCCAAGTTATAGTGGGGCATTTTTAAGGGCATGTAAAGATAAGGCCGTACTGCATTCTAATCATCTCCTCTGGGAACCTCTTGATACGCAGATCCGTGTATTATGGACATGGATATTGGAAGCTGCTTTGATATTCACTTTAGGTTTTTCTACAACAAAACCTCCAAACTCTGTGAAGGTTTTTTCTTCAGTGGCTGTAATGGCAACCGTAATAACTTCAATCTTAAAATAGAATGTGAAGTGGCCTGCGTTCCAGAATACAAAATAAAGTAAGAAATCCAATCCTATCTTTATTCTTTCAGGGGATGAAGAGAAAAACTTTGAGATCCTGGGATAGAGGAAATTGGTCAGGGATCAATCCTGATCTGGGATGGAAAGAGGGAGGGTTGTTCTAATTACAAAGCTTCATGGGTGGGCAGGACTCAGAATCATTTGCTCATTTTGCAGTCAGGAAATGAAACATCAGAGAGAAAATAGTAGCTACCACCTATTGAGCTCTTACCATGTGCCAGGCACTGCACTAAGTAATTAACTTGCTGTATATTGATACAATTTTAAATCACTCTAAAATGCATGTTTATTGTTTGTTCGTGTGACAGCTGAGGAAACCAAGCCCAGTAAAGGTAATCAATCAGCTCTAGTTCATATTAAATGAGCAAAGTCTTTAACCAGACCTGACAGTCACTCCGGTCTTGATCATTCACATGTGCTAAGATCACACAAATCAAATTATTGCCCTCCCAGGCCTTCAAAATCTCCACAACAACACAGCGATTTATACCACTAAATTCCTGCCTTACCCTTGACTGTTTCCAACTCATTGGAAGTATAAAGTCAGTGGAGCCTACTACAGGGCTAAGGTAGGGCTGGTTTCCAGAAGTGTAAGATGGCATGGCCTTGGGAGTGACTCAGTATGAATACTGATCTGCTCACTGTATATTTCTGACAAATCTTTGTAGGTCCTGGCACATTGTAGGCAATAACTAAATTTTAAATGAATGAAATAGTGAGAGGTAAAGCAATGGAATAGAAGGAGCACTGAAATAAAAGGCATCCTCCAGGCTTACCATAGGAAAAAGTGACCTACATTAACCCAGGGAGATTTTTCAAAACCTATAACATAGGCTTTTTTTTTTCTTTTGCTTAAACAGGGAATCTTGAGAGGATGTGAATTTACTGGGCTCCTTTAATATACCATCTTCAGTAAAGATGTAAGAAAACTCAGACCAATTTCAGATCATTGTAAAATTACCACAATCCTTGAAACTTTTATTTGTGTGCTATTCTCCAGACCCTAATTTGTCTTTCCTGAAAAAAAAAATAAAATAAAATGGAGAGTCTTTGTGTCACCCTCTTCTTTCTCTGAGTTTCTGAATTTCCCTCCCCTCTATATGATCCAGAGAACGTCAACTGGTTCTACCCAGTAGGTCATCCCTCAATCCTGAGCCATTCCTTATGCGTGCACACAACACTGAAACCATTCCAAGCCTAGGTAGCCAGATCTGCTTTTGTTTGTATCACCTGTCCTATCACGCTGAGCTGAGCTAGTTAAACAAACCCAAGTACAAACCCATGCTCCCTTTGGACCTTGAAATTAAACCTAGCAGATAACTTCAGACAGGGTGTGAAGGAAAAAGAGCATCACTCCCACTATTATGCATTTGGTATGTATTCTGCTTTCACAAAAGTGTTTTCTAATTCACATTCCCCAGAGCCATGACCCCTAAGTTGATTAACTGACCTTCTGACCTGGTCTCTATTTATAAGTAATTATTTGTAAGTAGATATTTTTAAGGGCTGCAGTCATTAAAACTTGACTTGGTTACTGTCAGTCCTTCTGGCAGAGGAACCCTGAACTCCAGTGCAATAATTGTATTTCAGCTATCAAAAGAATGATTATCCAGACCCTGAGTTCTAAGTCTTCTAAATATAATGCTATTGGCTCAGCAGAGACATGATCTACCCAGCTGTAAGATTATCAGTTTGACCATTTAAATTCCATACCTTCTCAGGCACCCCAACTGAACCTGCACTGAAGTAGGAATGTCTGTCCTAGAATGTGTAACTGCCTTCTGCATGCCTACCCTTCCCATCTTACAGGCAAGGTCCAATCCCTCACTTGTAAATTACAACACAGCCCAGCTCAAACCAACATCAGAGGCATCGTAAACCACCAAGACCCTGAAACTAGATGTGGTGCCTAAGGAATCTCAGCAATGAGAATTTTTCTTTTTTCTTTTTTATTGAGTATATTGGTACTTTTTAAGTATACAGCACAGTTACATTCATCATTGGGATCTTGTACCTTTGCATAACAGGTCTTGGAGCAACGAGAATTTTTTTTTTTTTTTTTTTTTTTTTTTTGGTATCAGGGATTGAACTCAGGTCTTGGAGCTTGCGAGGCAACTATGTGACAACCTCTCTAACACCTTATTGTTTCACAGTTCAAAGAAGTTGTGAGAATGTCAGGAAAAGAGGGGAAGACATTGCTCATCATTCAGCATTTGTAACAAATGGCTAAACAATGGTCTTACACTCAGAAGCAGAGATATCACTTCATTAGCAGTATATCCTCAGAGTCTAGGCCTGTATTTGCTTATTAATAGTTATGGACAGGTATGTGGATCAAGAGGAATACTAGCACTAAAAATATTTGTGAGGCATGTGTAAATACCAAATAGTTTCTCTGGTGTGAAAAACTAAAAGTGCAAATAATGTTCAAGTTGTATAACTGATAATGTGAAATAGGAAGAAAAGGGCTAAAGGAGTAGGGGAAGTGGGAAGGATTGGGGAAAGGAAAGGGAAAAGAAAAAATATGAGAAAAGGAAAAAATGTAAACAAAGTCTATGTAAATAAGGAAGGGTGAAGGGGGTGAAGGGAGGGTGGGGTACTGGGAAAAAATAAGAACCAAGATACATCATGTAAAGGTACAAGATCCCAGTGATGAAAGTAACGGTACTGTATACCTGAAAAGTACCAATAAACTTGATGAAAAAAAAAATAGCTGTGAAGTTCTGCTGACACATTAAGGACACAGTGTTTCAGCTCTTAACCATACTCTAATGACCATAATATTCACAAAATTTTTTATATATTAACAGTGACAGAGGTCAAGATAAAGAATAAAAAAATAGGAAAAAAAGAGAAAGAAGAGGAGTAATATAATGGAAGACAGAAACTAAGAAAAGGAATTATGCTAAAATTAATCGAAGTAAATAAATTGGACATTTATGGAAGTTTTTTAATTTCATTGCTCAGGTTTATATTTCATATTAATTAGATTTATAAAATTTTAACTGAAAACAGAGCCTCCCAACACAAATTACAGATGACTCTCTGCAGGTACATTCCTACCTTCCATTGACAGTATGCGTGGGGCTGTCACTGTGGGTCTCTCCTCTGCATGACTTACCAAACCTGAGTTTGTTTATCACAGATGCCAGTTCATTTTCATGTAACTGGCACCAAAATAATCATCATGAAATTCTTCCATATGAAAAAAATCAATAGGCATCCAGTTCTAAAAATACCACAATGTAGGGAAAGGTCTCCAGTAATCTAGGACCTGGCAATACAGAAGCTCTGACTTTACAGCACAGAATTACACGTCTTGAGCCAAGGTAGGCCTCTACTGTCAGACTATAGGATTACTCCAGTTAGCTCCAACAGCCCTAGAAATATTCTTATCAAGCACTGAGCCACACAAATGATCCATGTATATAAGCCACCAAAGCTAGTATTCTAAGAGCCATAAACAATGGAGAAAAGTGCAGCCCACAGTGAGTCCACTCCCGGGTATTCTGGCTCAATGTCAACACTGAAAAAACCTTGATCCTGGAATATATGAACAATCTTAAAAGTATCTCAAAATAAGCAGAAATCATAGGTTAGAGTTAATGCCATATGTAGCTCCTCTCCCAGGAATTATTCCCATGCAAAAAAAAAAAAAAAAAAAAAAAAAACAAAAAAAAAACACAAAAAAAAAAAAAAAAAAAAAAAAAAAAAAAAAAAAAAAAAAGGGGGTACACTTGCTGCTACTGCCAGATGCCTCACACATCTTGGCTTTGATATATACTCCATTTTGTGCACCATTCTTGTGACTCAGCTCAGGGGTAAAGATGATTCTCCCTTCTTTTTAAAGAGGGAACACTGAGTAGCCAGAGAGAGATCATTATGTGTGTTACTGGTGGCCTTTAACATTTGCTGTCTTTACTGTGTCCAAGGTCTCCCAACCGTGTGGCCTTGTGAATCTTCATGATCCATCAGGGCGAGGTGTTCTCTCTCACATGAGAGAGCCGACCATCCCCAAGAGGTACAGTCACGCAGAGCAGGAAGGGCTCAGGTTGACTCCCTGCCCAGGGCACTGTCCACCATACAGCTGGATGAGCCTGTTCCTTGTCTCAGATCGGAGCCTCCCCTTGGGCCATGACTGCCCCTTTGTGCTGCTCTGCATGGGACACTTTACTCTGGACTGCACCTCGCTCCAGGAAATACAAGACAGAACCTGCAGGAGCAAATGGAGGAGGAGGCAATCTGGCCAGGGAACATATTCGCTTGTGGAAATATCTGTCCCCTGGAGAGGCTGGAAGAGCAGATCTCACACCAGGAAAACCAGGCAGACCCCATACTTACAAATGCTCTGGGGAACATGCCTCGGCAGTCACTCATGTTATTCCCTTAGGCCCATGGGCTTTTTTCTGTAGAAGAAAAATATTTTCCACTGTTATCTTGTGCAGTTTTATTCTTGGAGGTGCAACTTTTACTTTCACCACTCATAGCAGACCATGAAGCTGAATTCTGGTGTAGGGAGTGCAGGACTTCAAAGTGCTGAACCAGGTGTGGGAGCGGACGCCTATAATCCCAGCACCAGGGTAAGTGAAAGGGGCAGATGGTGAGTTTGAGCTCAGTCTGGGCATTTGGCGATTGAGTTACACACACACACACACACACACACACACAATCACACTACACTGTCTCAAAAGAGAGGACAAAACAAACAAACAAGGAGAAATACATGAGGATGAAGAGTCATTCTGTTGCTTCTGTATTTCAACAAAGAATCCGAGTGGTATGGAATTTAATGTAAGGCTCAGTCTGAGAGAGAAGTGCTTGTCTGATCACTACAATTTACGGAGCAGTTCCTATGCGACAAGCAAGGATTTAAAGCCTAATGAACTGTTTACTGTAATCTACTATTATTCTGGTCTTAAAGATGAGGAAACTGATCCCCGGATACAGGTTAATCGATTTTTGTGAGATCGCTCAGCTGAGGAGTAATAGAGCCCAGATGTGAGCTAAACTCACTTGGCTTGAAGCCCATATTTCATCACCTTGTACCTTGTCTCACATCCTGAGTGTTTGGCTCAGGGCAGGACATTTGGCAGAACACAAGACAGTCAGGCACCTACTCGCCTGTCGTGCATCTCTTGAGAGTTCACTTGGTTGAGCCTTGTGAGTAGGAAGATTTCCCATCTTACTCATGAAAAAATAAAAAGAGAAAAAAGGAAAAAGGCATTATCTCACTGAGGGTGACAGAAAGACGTACTTGCAAAAGCAAATTTAGAAGCAGATCTCTCATTAGCACCCGGGGTCCTTTCTCTGTCCAGGGCCCTCTCCCCTTCCCACGCTGGGAGCTGTGCCAAGACCTAGGCAGTTACCACAGTTTCCCTGCAGCTGCGCCTCCAGAGCCTGAGAACACTGGGCTAGGGGTTGGCTACCTGGTGAAAGGAGGGCAAGCAAAAAACAGAAAACAAACTTGTGTTAGGTTTGGTGAGACTTGCATTTGGAGCTAGGGTGTCCAGGCAGAGTGTGGGATAAAGGTGGCTTCCGGGACCTGTGCCAAGACCTAGGCAGTTACCACAGTTTCCCTGCAGCTGCGCCTCCAGAGCCTGAGAACACTGGGCTAGGGGTTGGCTACCTGGTGAAAGGAGGGCAAGCAAAAAACAGAAAACAAACTTGTGTTAGGTTTGGTGAGACTTGCATTTGGAGCTAGGGTGTCCAGGCAGAGTGTGGGATAAAGGTGGCTTCCGGGACACAGGAGGTCTGTGGGTGGGGCGTTTGTGGATGTGTTTAGAGAGGCAAAGCCAGAGATCCAGTGATGTGGCGGTCATGGCCAGGGGAGGGTTTTGTAGTCTGGGAGTGGAGGAAAACTCTTGTAATCAGGACTTTTGTGGAAATTACCCTGGACAAAGAGAAGGAAACTGTTGGCAAAACGGGGACAACAATTACAAACAACAAATAACAATTAGGAGAACGAAGAGAAAGAGAAAGGAAAAGAACAGTCATAGTGGTGGCAAGAGAGTTCTGCTGGAGTCCACTGGCAGTTCTAGGGTCAGGGCAGGGCAGGAGAAATTGCTTACTCTCTGCGATTTGGAGGGCGGTTTAGTGAACAGACTATCCCGCAGAAGGCAGAGCAGCACTGGAGTCCTTGTGAACAGTCTTCCTGCAATGTACAGAACTGGTAGCAGTTCTCGGGTTCCGATCTGCAGGGCGGTGGTTCCAAGATGTAGTCTGGAATAGAACACAGGTAAGAGAAGAGCCTATCAAAGGCCAGAGTGGCAGTCAAAGCTCAGAAAGCCCAGGGAAACTGGCACCTCGAGCTGCCTCAGTGGTCCTGGAAGAGGAAAATCAAATTTCTTCCTTAGCTTTTGTCTTTCTCTGAGTTCTGAGAGGGGAGCCAGGACTTGGTTATACGATCAAAGACTGCATTTTCACCCACTGTCTCTGCAGGTCAGATGCCAAGTCCCCACAGACCTGGTAGGGTTTATGGCAAGTGTATGAACGCTGAGTGTGAGGTGAACAAGAAAGGGTGTTTACACCCATTCTGCACCCACTCGTGTGGTTTTGAGCGAGTTGTACCGCTTCTCACAAACAGCACAGTTCATCCTACGTGAATTCAACTCAGACTACTTATGTGTAGGAAGAAAAAATGGAAGTTAAGTTTTTTGAAAGGATGAAGGCCACAGAGCAACCTGAGAGTACTGGATCAGAGAGCTAGGACTCAACTCACAGGTGATTTCTCGAGATGATTTCCTCTATGCTGAGAAGGGCAGGAATTTGAGAATGGCATACAAAGATTCAGAGTCTCCTTTGCCCCTGGTGTCTCCTGATCAGGAGCCCAGAGCCCAGCGTGCCCCTACTTCCTGCTGTTAGACAAGAATCAGCATTGTCCTGTTCATACCCTATGTATTCCAGTTCAAAGTTAAGATCCACTTCCACCAGGAGACCCTATCCCCAGGGTCCCAAAGCTATCTTCTCTCCGTTCATGAATTTTTAAGCATCAGGGATTGGCCTATCAACCCCTTCTGCCACCCCCACCAGGTCTACTTTTTATGCTCATGATTTGTCCTTGCTTTGGGACCAAAGTCATAAATAAGGCATCAGTTGCCCATCTCTTGGTTTATTGCTCTATAAGTATATTTGTAGTAAGAAGACAGATCTGTAGGGTATCTGAGAAGTTTGGAAGGATTGAAGAGTGAGATTACAGCCATTACCCTACCAGCAATCTCACCACAGATGAGGCAAAAACAAGCCAAGATCCAAGCTGTTGACATTTGATAGAGACCAATAACTAACACCCATTTGGCCTCGCAACCTTTCTACACCTGAGTGGAGAAGACACAAGATTGGAACCAGTCTTGTTGGAAGAGCTTGGTGTTCAATGGGACCGTGTGGGAAATGAGAACACAAGTCAGGGACCTCAGAGAGGCTGCTCTACGACTCCAGTTCCACTTTATTTCTGGGGGTCTAGTGCCAGTCTCGCATGCAGTAATTGCTAAACTTTCAGAAACGCTGTCACATATCCCTCTCCTCAAAGTCTAGTCCTCCATTTTCCAGGTAACTCTGCCCTGGGTACCCCTGGTGTCTTGCAGCTTGCTTAGCCTCTCTCAATACTACACACCTGCATGCCTGTCTCAAGCTTCTCGAACAGAATCTAGTCACCCAAGAAAGACAAGCTATCAGACATATGTCTTCTGTGCCCAACGTATTCTCAAGATGCAATCCCCACAGAAGAATGCATACACGCCGAATAATGGTTCTTTCCCATTTGTTATTGGTCACAGTTAGCATTATTGCTTGTGTAAGGCTGAGCAGGGTCGTGGTGGTGGCTGAGGTAGACTCTACACTGCCCTGCTCATGGTATTCACAGGTTATTCCAGTGCCTCTGCATATTTAAAGTGTGGAATTCAATCTGAGGCTTCCTTTCCCTTCCTCCCACATCAGCCTCCAAGACAAGCCTACGGAGATGGCAACTTGACTCCTACTCAGGTCCTCTGTTAGTGTGCATGCTTGAAAAGTGGGACCAAACATTTGTGAAGGAACCAGGGGCGGTATGAGTAAGCTAGGGTATGTAGTGGACAACATTTAGAGTAATTAATGCTCACTGAGCATTCACTGTAAGGGTGCTCTATGTCTGCATGCATCATTTTAGTTTCTCTTCCCAACTCTCTTAATGTCATTACATCTATTATGAAGACAAAGTCCGAGACCCTGACACTCTGCCAGGGTCACACAGTAAACAAATGGAGCAGAGCCGAGTGTTGTGGTGCATGCCTGTAATCCTAGCTCTCGGGAGGCTGAGGCAGGAGGATCACTGTGAGTTCAAGACCAGCCTGGGCTACATAGTGAGTTCCAATTCAGTCTCAACTACATAGAGAGACCTGTCTCAAAACAAAAAATAAAAGTAGAAAAACGGAAAAAAGACAAACGGAGCCGAGATTCAAATCTCACTGGCGTACACCTTGGATTCCTCAACATGACGCTGTACTTTTTCTTAATGGGCTCTGTATTGCAAACCCCCTTCCCCCGTTATTTCCTCCCCACAGAAGCTACATCCCTCCCTCGGACCAGACCCATCACGTACTCAGAAGACGCTGCCTGGGACTTCCAGGCACAAGCTGCAGTGCTAGGCTGAACACCAGCAGGAACTGGAGAGACAGCGCGGTTGCCATGGCACCAGCAAGACTGGTGAGTAAGTCCTGGCCAAAGGCAGCTGGGCTTGCCCAGGCACTGCTTTGAAGAGAAGAGAGAGAAAGAGCCCCGGTGCAGTGGAGGCAGGCAGAGACTGGTGTTTCACTGTGTATTCCAATCCAGGAGGACCTGGCAGAGACCCAGGCACCTCCCATGGATGCCCATTACAGAGCCAGGGGGTGTCTCCCAATACGTGTCTCTTCCCTACCTCGAATCTCGACCTTATTTTGTCTCTCATTTGTATAGAGCGCTTTGTTTTTCTTTCTTCAGTGCTGGAGATGGAACCCAGGGCTCTGAGCTTCAGGGTAGGTACTCCATCACCGAGCTACACCCTCAGCCTTACACAGGTTACCTATGCCCCTTCAGATATTTTTGAAATAAATTTTCATTGTGGGGATCTGGTGTGTCTTTGTAGTTCCCAGAGGCTGGAATTCTTGCTTGTGTTATGCTATAGTACATAGCAATGAGTGCTTTGTCCTGCACATAGGAAATAAAACAAAGAAACAAGCATTAGGTTGGCCAATGCTCTCATTTCCAGCTTTCATTACTCTGGTTGGTCATGGAAAGGACTTGCCCAAGGCCACAGAAGAAATTTGTTAAAGAGATGAATGAGAGACCCACTGCTGTTCCATACCAAGAAGGACCTCATGAAGTCAGCCAAGGGGCGAGAGTTTTTTCTCAGCTGCATTTCAACAGATCAGTGGGTCCAAAATATGAGGGTTGTGAAAGAGAAAAAGGAAAATAGAATTACCATATGACCTAGCAACACTCATACGTATTTTCAGTTCTATGAAATTCTCATGCTGAAGAGCTATCTGCACCCTCATTTCATTATAGCTTTATTCACAGTAGCCAAGATATGGACTCAGCCTAAGTGTACATCAGTGAATGAGTGGATAAATTAAATACAGCATACGTACCATGAAATACTATTCAGCTTTCAAGGCGGGCATGGTAATCCCAGCATTGAGGAGGCTGAGGCAGGAGGATCGCTGTGAGTTCGAGACCAGCCTGGGCTACATCAAAAGATACAAAATTTCGGTTAGCAGCAATACATTCATGAGCATTTTTGACAACATGGTAACTGTAGTGTGTAACCATACACTGTATATCTGAGGACAACTAAGAGTGGATTTGGAGGCTTTTCATAACAAAAATATAAGTGAAGAAATAGATATGATTACTAGCTAGATGCAACTATCTTACCATGCATACATATTTCAAAACATCTTATACATGATAGATACACAATCGATGTTTTCAACTAACATCCACAAAGTAATTAAACATTACAATCCCCAAACACTTCCTATAAATAAAGAGTACTTGAATCGACATAAGAAAGGGCCACCACGTACCCAGCAACAATTAAGAGCCACAGAAATGAGAAGTTTAGTGTCCTCACTTAGATTGTTCCTTCTACATTTTACCATTTCTCACTAAAGATTTTCAGAAAGCCAACTCTTCCCAAGAGAGTGGGGACACTCACAGATGGGTATATTCTAAATAATTTCATTTCAGTCCTCGAGTTAAAAACAACTTCTTTAGGCTAGGAGACTGTTCTTGAATATCACAAGTCATGCATTCTAATGGTATTTGCTCAGTGGACTTTTCTCGATGGTAGCTACTGGACTCAGTAGCTAAACCCAGCCATTGCATTTCAGATAACATCCTATGGTTTACGAATTAGGCATCCTAGGTTTGTTAGGAGCAGCAATTCCTAGAGGTTAGGGTGGGTGAGATGTCGCTAGTATAGACATACCTCTTTTAAGGATTGAGTTTCATTCCTGTTAACACAGGTCATTAGATGAATTGGCAGCAAAATGAGGAATTGTATACAATATGTACATGACAACATTCAGAACAAAGCAGCGGTCGAAGGATGCCCCAACGTGGTGAAGTTGCTTTTATTTGCATAACTCTCACACATACAGTGCTAGAATGCATAACTGAACTATAGCACTGTACTAGGCAGTTTAATCAGCAAGAAACTCAGTACTGTATAAATAAGAAAAATTGTCCAAAAGAGACATTGAGGATCTATAAACAAAATGCACAGAACTGTACACCAAACAAAGATGGCTCAGAAGTCCACATGGTGGGTATGAAATCTGAAGAGCACATCTTAATAGGAAGTTGAAACGGTCGTTAAGCAGGTGGGTCGTTAAACGAGGCATCTCTATATTGGCATTAGTATGGCGTCACCTATGAGGAGTGAGTGGAGCCAAAGTAGAAAAACGTGGAAGAATTTGGCTGATATGACGGTGTAAGAGTGAGGAAGATCCTTCTGTATTTCTTGTGTCTGATTCACACAGAGAAGGAGCATCTCTGGAGCATAAGAATAGAACAAGTAATGCAACAACAGTGACAACCATAGGCTATATTTTGTCTCAACCTCCCCGGCATGATCTGTGATCTTTCAGGCCACCACTTGACATTTTAGAAATCCCAGAACTTAGCAGATTTCAATTTGCCTCCTCTTCTGACTCCATGAGATTCAAGATCTTCCTGGGGTCCTCACTCCCGTGTTATACCTAGTACGGTACTGGGATACACAGATGACTGCACAGAAGACAGCATAGTCACGACCAGCTGGGAACTCCTTCCAGCAACCATATTGTGAATACCACCTCTAGGTTGCCTGGGCCATAATGAGATGTCCAGGGTGCTTCCCAGCTCGCAAGTCTGGGCACCAGATGCTTTTTTTTTTTTGTACCAGGGATTGAACTTGGGTCTTTGTGCTTGTGAGACAGGCGGCAACACCACTGAGCTAAATTCCCCGGCCCTGGGTACCAGATAACTTACAAGGGAATGCAGCAATTCGCCCAGTATAATTCATGAGAGATGGCACATGACCAGTGAGAGGGATTAGGTGAACCTGGGGCCCATGGTGTGTCTACATGGTAAAGAGCTGTGGACGTGGATATAGAAAGTCATTCTCTCAGTGGGCCCTTGCAAGTATCTCCAATTTGCATGATGTCTGTAACAGCAATATTAGGGTCACAGTCTGGAAAGATGCCGGGTAAGTGAGCCTATCTGGGGAAACAACAAATACGATGCCTTAGAGACTATACCTTACTGTCCACCCAGCTTCAATGATGTCCACTGATGATTGATCATGGTCTCTTTCCTAAGACCCCTTTGGCCAAAGGTGGCCACGGCAGAGATGAAGATGAACCTCAAATAGCTAGAGTCCTGTGAGACTTGTGCAGTGAGTCAGAGGCTCTGGTCTGATGGAAGACATTTTCCAATCTGCTGTCTCTTTCACTGAATCAATTAGCCAAACGCACTGAGCTGGAACACAGCAAGACACATTTTCTCATGGGTATGGCATAAGTGCCTGAATTCACTTCACAGTTGATGCCATATCCCAATTGGCCAATGCTCCGGTTTAGATGAGTGTCCCCCAATATCCATGTGCCAAAGGAGTGGTCCTCAAGATGGTTCTATTGTAACGTTCTGTGGACTCCTAGGGATGAGGCCTAGTGAAAGGTCCTTTCCAACACAGGGGAAACCCCTTGAGGGGAATTGTGGAAATGGCCCATCCTCTTGCCCACTTTGTGGGTCATGATATGTAATCAGTTGCTCTGACACATGATGTGTCACGTGGGGCAGGGGCTCAAAACCCACGTGCTTACTCATCTTGGCCTTGAACCTCTAAGACAGTGATGATGAACCTTTTAGAGCTTTCGGTAATACAAAACGTCCACTGTGGCATGCGTGCCATTGGTTCATCACTACTGCTCTGAGCTATGAGCTAAATAATATATATTTTCTAATAGTTAATTGCCTTGGTGTTATGGTTTAGATCTGAAATGTTCCCCCAAAGTCTCATGAGTTTGGAAGGTTATTGGATCACGGGTGCTACATCATCAGGGGATTCATCAACTGATGAGTTCGATAGCTTAATATGCCGTTAGGAGGTGGGGCCTCCAAGAGCTGGGTCACTGGGCGCGTTCCCTGGAAGGGTGTGTTCTTGTCCCCAGCTCCCCCTTCCTCTCTCTGCTTCCCGCTGACGTGGAGGGAGTGGTTGTCCCCCTCCACGCCCCTCCACCGTGCCCTTTCTCCCTTGGAACCCACCAACCTTGGAAGGAAAGCACGGGAAACTGTGAGCCAAACAATCCTCTCTTTGAAATTCCATGTGTTGGGTGTCTTTTTACAGTAATTGGAAAACTGACTACTACACTGGGGCTCATGGAGTCGTGATGTGAAGCTCACTGATGCACGAACATGCGATCCAGCCCTGGATGCACCCCAGGACCTTGTCAGAGGAGTCGTGGTTCCATGAGTAGGAGAGAATCTGTACCCTACTGGTGGGTTTCCGTGGACTAATAACAGAATATGGGCAGGGTCCACAGCCGCCATGTGCCTATTCATCCTGAACTGTATCCGCATGAAGTCCTTGTCTTTCCCTCCTCCGTGCTCCTCCCCCTGCATCAAAAGAGAGGAAAATGAGACCGCAGGGAAGAGTACTGGGGAACGTAGGGAACACTCCTTTAATAGACGGCGCTGGAGTCTGCGACCCCAATCACCAACACAGGCCCCAGCGCGGGAGTGGCGACATTTGCGGGTGATGGTTAGGGTGAGGTTTGTGGTTTGTGTGGGCAAGCTCAAGTGTGTCTTCGTTACTCAGGTAATGAAGAGAAGGGAGCAAAAGGGAAATCAGAGGAAATATCATCCTCTAGTTCATCACCCTCTCATTCTCTTTGAACTAGAGCGTGGTATCACTGAAGTTCCCTGGGTTTCTTACCCCCACTGCGAAGAAACACTAATGTGAACCTCAGAAGGAGACTGGGAAGAACAGGGCAAGGGTGAGCAGGGCTCAAGAAGAAACAGCAGTCCTTGGGCGGCTTCTGTTCCATCTCGAGGTTCTGCCTCCTCCTATCTCCTGCTTAGCCCGGTCTTTCTGGCTCCAGGCTGAGAAATGTGCCACTCAGCACTGGCAGATGTTACCCATGAGCAGATTTCACCCGGGAGAACTGGTTTAGTGAGCGGAGCCACTGTAGCTGAGCCTCCCAGGGCTGGGGGGCTGTGGGGACCAGGAAAGAAGTAGAGAAACAAGACCAGGGAGAGAGTGGAGATGCAGGGAGGGGCAGGCGCATGAGGGGCTATGCGGGTTCCTCAGTGGTCGTGGCGGTGGGAATAAAAGAGACAAGACTTTGGGCTTTGATCCGGGTTTTTTTTACAGGGTTGTGGGGAACAAACAATGGGGAGGGCTGCGTTCTTGTTGACATCCTAGGATCCTTGATGTGAGATCCTTGTGCTTCTGGTGTGCACTTAGCCTGTGAGTGGGGGGTTGAGGTGAGCAGGAAGCACGACCCACCCCCACTCCCGGGAGGCTCATGCAAATGTTCCCGCAGAAGGTGGAACAGCACACGTTGTTGGCTTGGCAGTCGCGGTGATCTTCACACTGGCGGTTGCACTGATGGAATTCGGGTGGCTTCTCACAGCGCTTGATTTCGGGGACTACTTGTGTTTCTGAAAAGGAGCAGGAGCAGGGTGAGTGGTAGTAGCTACTTAGAAAGCAGCCTTCCAAAGTTTGAAACTCCTCCCAGAGCCCAAGACCCACTTACACTTCCAGACTTTTCTGGGAACTTCCTTTGTGGTCCTCACTAAATCCTACGTTCCCCCTCTTACCTGCTCACGTCCCCTATGGACCTCAATGCCTGAGCTTCCTGGACCCTCTGTCCCTGGGAAGCATGGTCTTGCCAGAGACGAGAATGGACCTGAAATTCCTAGAGCCCCGTGAGGTCTCCCTAATCGCATCTGCACTGACTTGGAGAGCTCAAAGACGCCCGAGACATTTCCCCAACCCTCCTCACTCAAGAATTTCCAGGATCCAGAGAGAAAGAGAACCTTGCTTCTTGCTCGTTTTTCCTCTCTTCACCATCACTGTGTCCTGAATCCCAGACCCTTCCATAGTTTCCCTTCTCCCAGCAATCCCCTGCTGCCTCACGTGGTCCCCCTGTCTTGGCTTTGTACACCCACAGTGTCCTTTCTTTTACACCTGTGCCCACTTCATCACCTACGGCCATCCCGTAAACGTCTCTGGACATTTACACATCACAGTGTGCTTGAGTCCGAGAATAACTGTCTGATTTCCATTAGATTCTCAGCCTTAGTGCACCTTTCACCACAGCACGACCCATTTCTTTCTGGATTATTGGAATGGAAGGAAAAAAGTGTGAGTCCTTCTCTGCCTCACTGACCTCCACAGGTAACGGAAGGTCGTGGGCTGGTACAACCCAGAGTCTACCAAGCTGTGGGCAGAGATGCGTGGGTAGAAAAGTACCCCGTCCCGTGTTCTCTCAGAGTGGGCACAGTCTCTCCTTCCCCCAGCCCGCACAGCAGCCCAGTCAGTCACCTACTCTGCGTCCTCTTCCAGTCACGTTCACGGTGGCCTCCCCGGGTCTGCACGAACAGCAGCTGCACACAGAGGAGCAGGGTGGACGCCAGGGCCTGGGGCGTCATAACTCTGACCAGAGCCACAAGCCGAAGTCTGGACAGGATGTCACAGACTTCCCACAGCGCCATGTGAGGAGGGAAGGCAAGAAAAGAAGTTCTCCTCCGCTCCTTGCTGCCTCTGCTGGCCAGACAGGGAGGCACAAGACTTTCCTCCCCTTGCCTGCCCCTGCCCTGCCCTTGGGAGGGAAGGGGCTCTGTGGGAATGAGACCCCCTCACACGACCAACCCTCTCCGTGCTAACAGAATGTCTCGTATGAAACACACAACTTATTTCTGTTCATAGCTACAAAATATTTTACAGAAGAAAGAAAAATATAACTTAAAAGATTATAATTTCACTACTTAAAGGTAACCCACGTTGAATTGTAGTTTCCCCATGTATTTCGTGGGAGCAATTCTTTGTTTTCTCAGATTTTTTATTGAACACCTGTGTTACTTGCTTCCACTCTCATTGAGTTGTGTAGCTATTTCATAAACTATGGTTTTCCACCATTGTGCAGCTACTGATTCATTATATTCTACAAAATCTTTTCTCGAATATTATATTAAGACAGCCTTGATTTTTATACGCTAAAGTGAGCGAGACAGACTTGGAGCATCTCTTATTCAAAAATCTGGAGTCCAAACTCTGAAACTTTTTGAGTGATGATATCATTCCACAAGGGCAAAATTTGCCACTTGATCTCGAGTGTGATCAGTTATGATCAATATGTAACTAGTAAGTGCCTAATAATATCGTGCAAGGTTACTTTGAGGACATTTTTAAAGTGTGTATATAAGCCATAAATAGGTGTTGTGTTTACACTTTTATTCCTTCCCCAATACATACCACACAAACACACAAATACACACACAGACATACACAGAACAGAGAGAGAGAGAGGCTGAGAGAGAGAGAGAGAGTAATTTGACTTTGAAATAAACTGTTCTTTTCTGTTGAGAAAGGCCGTCCTAATTTTTTGGAACCCTGGAGAACACTAGAGAATGAATGTGATGATACTTAGCAGGAATCTGCTCACATTTTCTGTGGAGAACCTAGTAGCATGTTTTATTCTCAGTTACATGTGCTATTTTTTGTGCGGGTGGGCATCCAGAGATGAAACTCAGGTCCTTGTGCTTGCAAGGCAGCTGCCCTAACACTGAGCTAAGTCCCAGCCCTACATGTGCTTTTGGAATCCTACCTTCCATATCCACCAGCTCCATAAGGCTGAGAAAATCTAATGACCTATGCAACTCATTCAAACCTCTGTCTGAGCAATTTGACAGAACAGACTTTCTCGTGTTGCACTTCAGCTGTGAAGATGAGGTACATAATATATGCTAGGACCATGAGGGCACATCTTAGCACTCGGCATAATCCATTGGTTTTCGCCTGTATATAACTTCCCAGCCACGCACAGCAGCCCCATGCATCACAAAATGTATGCCTCTTAGCTCCCTTTGGATGTGGTTTAAGACAAAGCCACGTGAAAAGGGATGATGGAAGAAAACCCTTTATGTCTGGGAGGCGGGAGGCGGGAGGCGGCACACTTTTCTAAACTGTTCCACAGGCTGAAGTGGTGGAGGAGCCAGGACTAGAAATCAGAGTTCAAAACACAGCAGCCCAGACACTGGCCACGAGCGGGCTTTACTCTCTTGGAGACTGCAAAACTGGGGAAGTTGTTTCGGTTTTGTGTGATGAGGAAGTGAGTTTTGTATCTTGAGGAAGTGAGTTTTGTGTCAGGGGCCTGTTCTGAGCCCAGTGTGATTATGGATCAATTACTCTAGCCCATCTTTCAGTTTAAATTTCTTTAGCCTATCAGGAGGCTCAACCCCTATCGCGTTCACAATCTTCTAGCTCCTCCCTCTCAGCTCCTTCTCCTCCTTCTCTTCCTTGGCATTTCCTTTATCCCAAGCTTTCTGGGAGATCTCTACAAGCTGTGTCCTCTGTCCAAAGTTTCTGGGTAAGATAGTTTTATTGTGACACATGACCTTCACGCTTTAACTTGAGCTCAAGTGTACGAGCTTCCCTAGCCATAAAGTATTTCTAGGCGATGCTGACGTTTCCGTGATTAACCACCTTCTCTTTAGAGGTCAGACCTCTTTCAAAATACTCGTGGAGGAAGCAGTCACTGAGTCGTGTGGGAACTCAGGGACAGGGTCTATGAGCACAGACACCAAGCAAAACCTAGTTAGTAGAAACAAATGGGAAATAAATGTGTATATTATATCTGTGCATACACATATATGGGGGAGGGACTACTGAGACCTTCGGAGGGCATGAGAAGAGGGGCTAATTGGTGCACACAGCTAATATCAGAGAATGTGGGTGGGGAGGGATCTGTCATGCTATAGTTTGGGTCTGAAATGGCCCCAAGGGTCCCTGTGTTAAAGACTTGGTCTCGCGGTGCTACTGGGAAGTGGTGAAACTTTGGCAAGTGGGATCAAGTCGGAGATGTTTAGCTTATTGAGGGCAAATTCTCAAAGAGGGTAACAAGGCCCACTTCCTTCCCCTTTCTCTCTCTTTCTTCCATGTTGGTCCTGAGGTGAGTGGTTTTTTATTTGTTTATTTTTCTGCAAAATTGGGGGTTGATCCATGGGCCTCACGCACGCTAGGCAAGCCTTCTACCACTGAGCTATATTTCCTACCATTTCAAAAATTTTTTTTGAGACAGACTTTCATTAAATTACCCAGGGGGGCCTTGAACTTGTGAGTAGCTGGGATTACAGGCACATAGCCGTGCAGCTGGACAAGGTGAGCACTTTTGCTCTACTATACACGCCTGCCATGATGTCCAAAGCAACACGCACGCTAGGCAAGCCTTCTACCACTGAGCTATATTTCCTACCATTTCAAAAATTTTTTTTGAGACAGACTTTCATTAAATTACCCAGGGGGGCCTTGAACTTGTGAGTAGCTGGGATTACAGGCACATAGCCGTGCAGCTGGACAAGGTGAGCACTTTTGCTCTACTATACACGCCTGCCATGATGTCCAAAGCAAAAGGGCCAACTGGTCATGGACTAAGACCTCCAAACCTGTGAGATAAAAGAAACCTTTTCATTTCAGAAGTTGCTATTTTACGTATTGGTATAGTGACAGCTGATTAAAACCACGGGAATCCGTTAACCAAGGGTTCAGGGAAGTTTGGCTGCTCACAACCTGGCAGAGAAGAGAAGAGGGAAATGGCTTTATGCATGGAAGCCTGCTTGCGTGGGTGTCTTCACTTTACAGCAATCTACTCTTATGGAAATTAATTCGCTCCAGGAGACCAGCATGGACCCCTTCTTAGGGCAGCCCCCTGTAGGACCTAAGCAATTCCTACTAGGCCTCACCTCTTAACATTGCCGCACTGGGGAGCAAACCTCTAGCACAGGACCCCCTGGGGGACAGACGACATCCAAACACAGCAGGCACCATTTTCATTCCTAGGAATGTTTCCTTGAGTTGACTCCTACAACTTTGTATCCAGGTCTCCACACTCTGCCCGTTGTCTTTGTACAGATGCATCTCCCTTACCCGAGCCCCTTAGTCCTGGCGTATACTTCCTGCGTCTTGGCGCGTCCTTCCTGACCCCTGGCGTATACTTCCTGCTTCCTCTTGTCAATGTACCTGACGCGCCACTGGAAGGTTTGTTCACATGTGAACATCTCCTGTCATTGTACCTGAATGTTCCTGTAGACAGTGTTTAGAGAGGGAAGTTACCCGTTTGAAAGTTTCTCACTCTTGCCCCTTGGACTCTTTTCTAGTGATACAGGGTTGCTTGCCTGTGTGTCCAATCTGTCTCTGACATTTGGTGGACAAATCTCACCACCCCGCAACCGACAAGCCATGCCGATATCTTGGTGTTAGATTTGTTCTCTTCACCCTCTTCATTTACTAGATGGTCCTCTAGCTTTTCTAAAATCCTTCCTGACCACACTCTCTTGTCTGTGCAAAAGCTGGGGCCATTTGGTGGGGGGAGACAGTGTTAACCATGTATTGCAGAGGATCATCAGTACCGAGGAGGATGTGATGGTAAAGATAGATCTGCAGACTTTCTTCTCAGCTCTACCTGTAGGTGAGCTAGGATGCATCAAATGAAGACCCTGGGGCCATGTGACTGTGATATTTGGGGTTAGCCAGAAGTGCAGCCCAGGTACACATAGTTCTTCCCAGCTTATCAAGAGATACTTTCTGTATCGAAGAAAATCTAGTGTTTCTGCATGGGTGAACCAAAGGAAAGAGCGTGTCACAGAGCCAACACGTTACTTTGGGGCAGACTTTAAAGAGCTGCGTTAACCACAATCGTCACTAAACTTAAGGACTTTGATGTTTTATTACTGTTTTCCCCTTTCCGTCCTCCCAGTCATAGGGGGCCAAACAGAAGAGCCGTAAGGCAGTTAACGCAGACACCTCCCGAGGTAGGTGGGATAAGCTTTTATTTGTGACCTGCTTGGATGAGCTCTTTGCTGAGATGGTGTCAACTGCTCCTATGAGATGGGGATTATCATTTCATATGTTGAAATAAGACAACTGAGAGGTGCTGTGACCTGTCTGAGGTCCCAAGGGTTAAAAGAACATAGATGAACTCTAGGTATCAATATTTTTAACCTTGTATCTAGATTCTCCCTCTCTCTCTCTCTCTCTCTCTCTCTCTCTCTCTTCCTCTCTCTCTCCTCTGTCTCTCTTTTAAACACTATCTAGATCACCCAGCATCTAGAATTTTGGGGAGAGAAGTAGTTCTGTGTTTATTTGATGCCTTTAGGACCTATTTAATGTTACCTTATTAGCACACGTGTGTGACATATAATGTTCACATCCTTGTGGGAAGTTGATAAAAGTACATAACATATCCTACTTCCTTTTTCAGCCCTTTCCTTTCTCTCCCTCTCCCCTCTCCCTATCCCTTCTTCCCCTTACTTTTTGGGTGCATATTTGTACTACATATTGTTTACATTCCTTGGGTGGTGTTGGTACACGTACTGAACACATCCTAATTCCTTTTTCCACCCCTTATTCTTTCCCTCCCTTCCCTCTCCCTCCATGTCTTGACCGCTTTTCCGTCTGACAATGATCCATCTCCTTACTTCCTATGATCTCTCTTTTACTTGGCTCCTTAGTTTTACTCTGGGTTTGTCATATAGGGGAAGAAATGTGATATTGAAGCTTGTGTATCTGATTTATTTCATACAACATTGTGGTCTCAAGATGAATCCATTTTCCTACATAGGACTCACATTTATCTCTCTCAAGGCAGAGCAGTGCTCCATGGCTCCATGGTAGGTAAACACCACATTTCTTCATCCATTCATATGTG